GGAATGCCGGGGAACGTCGAAAAGCTACCAAAAGGCTTTTCCTCTAAATGCGTCCGGCGACCGTGGACGAAACGATCGTCGCGATACAGAAGCGATTTCGCTTACAAAAAAAGAGAGGAAACAAAAAAATAAGAGAAAAGAAATAGAATCATCGGAACACGTTCCCGATCTCATCTGGTAACGGCGTATAATAATCCATATTATTCGAGGCTCGAACCGCCTTCGAACCATATCTCGTTCCTCGATTATCGTTAATTAAGTACACAGTCTGGGCGCACGCGAGCGCCTGCTCTGGCACCTATGGCACTATGTATTCACGTTAATCTCCGTCTCCACCGTTTCGTGTCGCGTGCGTACCCCATATTCTCGGTCGCATATCTCGAGGAGACGCTCGCGCGATGCGTCCAGGTCGCGAGCCGTTTTCTAATATTTTTTTCTTTATGTCTAATCGAACCGAGTCCTCGGACGGTCGTGAGCGCGCGTTTAAGTACACAAGCCCGAGACACTCGATGAAATAACGAACGAGAATTGAACAAAAAGAAAAGAAGAAAATATAGAATAATCATAAAAAAAAAAAAAAAAAGAATAAAGAATTAATAAAAGAAAAAACGAAGATGAGTCCGGAGAGGCGATATCTCTCCGGATACCGCGCGATTATCCGTTGGAAGACGCAACAAACAAAGAACGAATTCAATAATCACAAAACAGAAAAAAATTACAAAAATGTACAAATTCGCGTGAGAACGAGAGTGACAAATATGGATTCGATGCCACGGAACACAGTTATACAAATTGAGCGTTTCTCCTCGGCGAGTAACTTCGAAAGAAGCAAAAAAAAAAAAAAAAAAAAAAAAATAAAAAACAATACGGTTCACGCGATATCGAACGTTTACGAGAACACACACCGGTCTCGCATGTGTTCTCCGTTAGTTTTATACCTTCGCTTCCGGTCTCGCTCTCTTTCTCTCTTTCTCTGGTTGTTCCTCCGTGTCGTTCAGTCGGCACTCGTAACTAGGGTTCCGACCGGCTGGTGCCGAAGCCCACCTTCCGACCTCCGTACACCCTTGTTCCTTTCGTTCTTTTTTTTTTTTGTTTTCGTTCAATTTCTCTGATTGCGATCTGGCCGCCGTCGTCGTATCGCCGGGGCGTATCTCACGATCGGAGCCCAATGGCAAACACATCTCCTCCGGTCTGGTGCCCTGGCCGCCCTTCACCCTGTTTCCGTGTTACGTACCTGTCGTGTGGGGCCAACATTTGTTCCCTGTGTGATATATACTGTTTTCTTTTCTGGTTACCAATGTCTGTCTCTACCTTCCATGGTACTACCAATGTGTACGTGTGTGTGTACGAGCCTGCTCGAATGATTCTTGCCGGTGGTCACTAGGGCCTCCTTACGCCCTTTACGGCAGGAATCATCCGGAGCTGATCTATATCCTATATCATATACCTAACCCATATGATCTATATCGTATACCTAACCCAGACCAGACGGGCCTTGTGTGACTATATGTATAGCCTGTGTGTTTATGTATACCTTGTGTGTATGTATACTTTGTGTGTGTATATATACCTTCTGAACATCAGTGTATTTGTGTCTGTAGTACATACACGCGATTTGGCTCGAACGTTCGCGTGTGTAAAAGTCTCGTGTACTGGCTATGATTCATGACAACTGTGTTCTATAGGTGTGTTTGTGTATGTGTGTATATACATGAGTGTTGCGTGTAAGAAATGCTAATTTCCAGGGTCAAGGAGCTCTCTCTTTCTCTCTCTTATGTCCCGAGATCGAGGCTCGGTCGGGGCACCAGCTGGGGGGCTCTCGTTCGCCTCTTCTGCTCTCTTTCTTTCTCTGTGTTTTTTTTTTGCTTTTTTTTCCTAGATACGCTGGCACAGGTTTTTATCGTTGAGTACAAGGGTTATTAAGTACGGGGATTGGGGGTGGACCTCGCGCGCCCTGCCGGCCAGGACTTGTACCTCACACAACTCCCTAGTTACGAGTACCGAGACCTAGTGTGGTGATATATATATGTATATATTATATAGTTCCGATCGCGTACGACTTTGTTGGGCATATATCTCTAGCGCTCCGTTCTTCTTGCTTTCGCCGCGATTTTCCGTGCTCTCTCACTCTCATTCTTTCTCTCCCGATAAACCATACACGTGGATCGCGTGAATCCTGTGTCCTCGGGGAGGACCGATACGTGGTATCATTCCGGTCGAAACACTCGACGGATCCCGTCACGGTCTTCGTCACAGTCAGAGAAAATTGTAGAATCAAAGATTTCGTTGTTCGTTACCGGGATAAAAGAGTTCCAGTCTTTTTTTTTCCTAAAGATCGTTGAAGATCGTTTCACGTGGATCCGTAAAGTGTTCCAAGCAGAATGAACTCGCCCGGATTGCTCTGTCGCGTTTCTTCAGCTGACGTGTATATATATATATATGTCCCTTCGTGTCCTTTTTATCGGCGTATGTTCGATTCACCCGTTAATTACCACTAATCGAAGTTCACTATTCAATAAGTTAAAAACTATACGTCTACCTCCGCTACCGGTTTCACGAATTCAAACGTATGCCCATTCTCACTTTCTTTCGATCGCTCGCTCGCTCACGCATACTCGCGATTTTTCTTAAATTAATCCGAACGGTTTCCGTTGTTTTGCTTTTTTAAAAATAGACACAAAATTCATCTTGTCACGCTTAGAAGCCCTTAATCCTATTACGTATATCCTGATCACGGTTAATAGTTCGTTTAGCAAATTAATCGTATCGCTCGCGCCCCCGATATACCCGGAAGCGACTTCGTATATAATTCGCCCTCACTCTCTCGCTCATTCTTTCTCTCTCTCGAGTTGCACGGTCCTCGAACGCGCGGTTGAAAATCCGAAAATCCTCTATACGTATCCACGGACGAAACACGCGGCGCGTGTCGCGTGCGCGGTTGATCGATGATCTGGGAAACGAGGGTGAAAAAGAAGACTGTTTTCGCGCGATCCGCTCCATCCAGTCGCGACCTCCGGTGTGGATTCTCGACTGTTGTCGTCAGGTGTGAATAATATTTCGAAAAGAAAATGAAACCCAGGTCGAGGTGACCCTTCGTCAATCGTTGAGAATAGTCGTCTTGAATAAAAAGCGAAAAAAGAAAAACGAGAAAATCCTTCGGACTTGGTCCGATTGATTTAAAGAGAAGAAAACTGTGTTTCAGTCGACCAAAATGGAGAAAAAAAAAAAAAAGAACGTCGTCGAGTTGGAAACGCCGCGAAATCGACGAAGCAAACCGAACCTGAAAGCAACGCGCGCTCTCGTGTTCCCTTTGGAACCGTTCTCTCTATTTTTTTCTTTTTTTCATCCGTATCAACGTTTCAGTACGTTTCGCCTAACATAGTTCTCGGCTCGCCGTGTCGACCTAGCGAGAAACGGCCCCCATATCTCGTGTGTGTGTGCGTGCCCTTCTCTAATGCCCGGTGTGTTTCGCCCACGAAACCGTGCGCGCTTGTGCCGCACCGCGAAGAGACCTTTCAAAGGGGGTGGATGGAGTGAAAGACAACAAGGAAAGGGGATATATACAGGGGTACGCGTGTGTGTCGTTGGTGCGCACCACGTGGCGCTCGAACCACGTGTACCAGTCTCTCGGTATCACCACGACACACCCGCGCACCCAGGTGGGGTGAGAACCAAGACGACGAGGAGTAACACACGCAGAATCGATTGCGTATGATACCTAACGTTCGTCGGCTAGAACAGCGGATTACTGGTCCCCAGAAATCGTGGATGCTCAATGGGAACGAGGATCGAACCTGTAACCGAGAGCTAAACGGAATTGTCGAGGTGTCTGGCTCCGAGACGAATTTAGAAGCGTTTCTTCTCTTCTCCTTGCCAGCCACGCCGCGATCTTATGTAATCGAGCGTGGACAGTCGAGCAAATGGAGCGTGTTCCGTCGATCTGGCTGACTAGTACGGGAGGGGAAGAGGTTCCGTTCTATTCCCAATGAGACGGGTGCGACCTAGGAAGCCTGTGAACGGCAAAACGTTCGGTACCAGGTGAGAGGAATGCAACGTGACGTCTTTAATAAAAATATATATATATATATATATATATATATATATATATATATATATATGTATATATGACGGATATAGCGGAGAAATGAAGAGACAAGTACAGGAAGAACACAGTGAACATAATAGAGAATCGTGAATGAAAACTCAAAAAGCCAGCCAAGTGCCAAAGAAAGTATCAACACTCGTTGCTTCCCTCGTGAAACAGTGCGAGACACTGGTCAGCAACGTACTGGAAAAAGTGCCGACAAGTAGCGCCAATCCAACAAATAACCGCGGCCTGTTTTGTCACTCACGTAACCCAAATCAAGGCACACCCTCCCCCTAGAACCCTCGAGACAAAACATCGACATCGCCGGAAGAAAAGGAAAACGCTCATGAAGAGACGAACCCCCTCCCTCGACTAGGTACACACAATATCCTCGAGTGTCTTTGCTGTTCGCTGGTGTCTATGACACCTCCCTACAACGACCTCGTGGTGTCCGCGTGACCTTGAGGCGCTAGGCCACGAGGACAAGGCGTGTTACGAGAGGGCGCCCTGGCGCCAGCCGCGGTTCTGCCTCCTACCCCGCTGACGGTCAGTCACGATCGAACCATCAACGACGCAAGGTTCACCCCGCGGAAATATATATTTTCAGAGAATTTTCTTTCGAACAACGCCAGAATAGAATTCGATGAAAAGAACTGACAGGTTTACCCAGATGGCGAACAGAACGGGAGACTCGAAGAGATGCGAGGAGAATACGGTTCGAGACACGATTCCGATGAACCAAGTCCGCCGGCGAAGGATGACAGAAACATGGTAACCTCGATGAACTATACCCAAAACGGGAACCAGACGACGTAGAAACACGCCAGACGGCGAGCAACGGATAACAGGGTTAGGTAAGGTAGGTGATAAAGGTGTAGTGGACCGATGACGAAGAAGACCGATAAATGCCGGTGCCATAGAAGACAGAAGAAGGGTTTTCTTTTTTCACAGGACGATAAGATGTGAATAGGTCTCGCGGTATCGGCACGGAAGTCGCGTCGTCTATTACGAGCACGGATACACGGCCGAGCTGATGCTGTGGTAGGCGGCGAGGGCGGCGTGCGCGTGCGCTGGGGGCGCGGATGCGGCTGCGTGCGGCGAGGTGGCCATCGCGGATGCCGCCGCGGCTGCCATCATCATCTGTTGGTGCGTACGCTTTAGGGAGTTGGGAGTTGTGGCGGCGCTACTTGGGGTAATAGCAGTAGTAGTGGTGGTGTTCGACTGCGGCGCAGGGTGGTGGTTTTGGCTTTGGTTTTGGCTCAGTTGCAGGGGTGTGGTAGTGGCGGTACTGCCGATACCGGTGTGATTATTATTATTATTATTATTGTTATTATTCTGGTGATGGTGGTGGTGGTGGTGGTGATGGTGGTAATTGGGGGTGATCGCGTCGTGCGGATAATAAGACGTTGACGATGGTGAGGTACTCACGACGTCCGGCGTGCTGGCTCCGTCCGTGTGGCTGGTGCTGTCCGCTGTGCTCCTCGGCCCGCCACCGTCTAGACCGTTACCGATCTCCGGCGGTTTCGAGCTCTCCCGGTCGTCGATCACCAGGTCGATCGGCATCTTGCCCTTCAGGCAGCTGATGTACCGGTGGCAGAAGTTGTCGCAGAGTTCGTGGACCTGGAAAATCAAACAAAGACGCATACCATTAGTATAAGTTATCTATATGTTTGGAATAAATCTTAAATAATAAAAAGTCGGAGTAACGGAATCAACTGTCCTTTCATGGTTTTGTTTTAACATCCTATCACTCTAAAACCTTCTTCTCGACTTGTCAAGTACGCGCTCGATTACTACTGTTCGTCCATCCCCTAAATCTAGCCCAATAATTACATGGGGTTTCCTAGAAAACCGTTCCACCCGGTATTTTCACCACGAACCTCAAGGTACACCAAAAGATCCGCTTGATACCAGGCCGCGCTGGTATCGATACACAAAGATGGAGGAGAGGCCGTTGAGGAGTTCGTTGCATCTCGAGGCCGTGGAAGCGGTCCGGCAGCGAGAAGACAAGGACTCGACCGTCCCGCATCTCCACAGCACAGACTCGAAGCGGGACAGAGAAAGAGGGAGAGAGAAAGAGAGAGGGGAGAGGTCTGACCGGTGTCCAGTCGACCAGAATGTTATGTATGCAAATGAGGTCTGACAGGCCTATAGGATACCCGGTCCACCAGCGTCCTCCTCACGGTTCATCCTCCTCCCGCTCCCCCCTGACCCCATCCACTCCCTCCCCATCCACGGATCGAGCGACGGTCGAACCGACTCGCTGCTTGATTCGGTTTAGAAAAAATGTATTATATAAGCAAAAGCAAATAAAAACGGTTATCTTGTTATATGTAAATCGACGAATCAGGGGGAGAAGATGGCGAGAGGGGGGTAGGGATGGCCGGTGCATTTACGAAGCGGCGTGTCTTTTCTCTCGTTGCAGAGGCGCGTACACGCGCACGCCTCAGTCCACCTAGGACCTGGATCCGTTCTCTCTCCCTCTTTCTCCCTTCCTGGCTTCAGGGGACTTCTTCTCTCTGTCTCTCCGGCAACCTATCCACCTAGCCGGATACTTACGGCGTTCTTCTTATTAGGCATTTATATGTAATAGAGAAGACGGCCATCTTTGCCGTAGGCGGCACCGTCCAATGGGTGGAAGGCCGTGGCGGGTAACACCAAGCCGCGACCGTAGACAATGCACGCGTTTATCATGCGTTAAGCGTATGCGAAAGGAAGGCTCGTTGATCGAACGCGAGGTATCCGATGCACGGGCACCCCGATCTCTTCTTTCGAGAAGATCGCCGCCGCGTGCGACATTCGACCAGCGCATACGTTATTTCACGATACCATCCCTCCTCCTCCTGTCTTTCCATCGGACCTGGCTCGTTTCATGGGAAAATCGCGCGTTCCAACGAGAAGATTCTGACAAAGACGGTCGATCTATCGGGACTGGTCGTTGGTTCTCATACCAACGAGCACGAGGTTCTCCAGAATTTTCTCCGTGCCACCAGGTAACACAATGCCTCCTCCTCTGGATGACTAGACTCTCTTTAACGCGGGGACGAAACACGGAGAGAGGGGGGGGGGAAGGGGGAGGAACCCCGAAGGACAGCGGCTATTATGCCGGACTGGTTAGAATTTGATCCGCCGAGAGTCGAGTCGAACCCGACCGACAATGCTCGCCGAAGAAAAGAAACGGGGCCCATCTCGCCCTCTCTCTCTCTTTCCACGTCTCTTTCTTACTCCCGCGGCCCCCGTCCACGCCGAAAGGAGCCCGCTCTCGCAGAATGTTCACCTATACCGACGCGGGGGCCCACCGTGTGTACCCCTTGCGCGCGGGAACACGGATATCGAGCCATTTTTTAGCGCGCGTGTACATTTCAGGCTTGTGTACCCCTTCTCCCCTACCCTCTGCCATTCTGCTCACGAGAAAACGAATTTCTGCGTGCAGATATTTTACCCACGCAGCTACCTTCTTTCTATTTCGGATATTTAACAGGACTCCTCCACGGATTACTGTATTGTGGACACTAATTTACAGAATACAGGGGTCTTCGGTTGGATGTTGAGAACATCATCTTCCGTCTGATCAGTTTTCCCGCAAGGTGTAAAATGGTCCACGCGATCTTCCAGCATATCCCTGGATCTCGAGCCTAGGGACACGCGTGTATACGAAGAGACTCGAGAGAGCGAAGTGAAGACAAAACGAAAACCCAGGAGGATTACGATCCCGGGGGTAACTGGACACCGCGCGAAACTGTTCTCCAAAAAGGAGCCAGGGGAGTCCCTAACATCGGGTAAAAGAAAAATAAACAAGAGACCGTACGAATTTTCAGACCGTCCGCTGTTTCAGATCCACATACATATTATCCTTTCACCGTTCGCACGGGTTGACACTGTATATCCCTCGCGTCCTAGAGTCAAGGATACGCTAGACGGAGCAGCGCGAGCTGCACTTCTTTGGTATCTAATTCATCCGAGCTGGGTACCCCGGAGAGCTTCTCGGATTTTCTGATACGAACAACCGCTATAAGAAGAAGGAACGTAAGGGGGGGGGAGGAGGATTGCGGGGGCCTCACGGAAAATATCGAGTGTCTCAAAGGATCGCCGTTTCCAGTCCCAGGCCCGTCCCCCTCGGTCTCTTTCACCCTGGCGAAGAAAGCCTTGGGAAGGGAAGGGGGCTGGGATGGTATCGCTTTCATTACGTCCCCGCGAACGCTTCTCGTGTTCCTCCGTAGGTACATGCGACACCAGGAGGCGGACGCCATTACCGGAAGGTAGCCCAGCTCTCGCTTGCTAGCTCTCTCGCTCGCTCTCTTCGCCCGGTTCTGTGTACAAGCGCCGGATGAGAGAGACAGAGAGAGGACTCAATGGCCGCGCGATACCGGGCGACGGCTGTAACTCGAGATTATTCCCATTTTATGGCCGATTTAACAAGCTCCGCGGAACGGGGGTGTCGGTTTTGTACGCGAGCCAGAAGAGAAATTGTCGGCCGGATTTCAACCCGGTGCCCAAGCCCCCGCGGTACGGACTTGTCCTCCTCCTCGAGTATACGTTCCAGGCAGTCTTTCTCAGTCTCTCTCCCGGGGAGTCTTCTCTTGGCTATATACACACCTCCGTCGTCGTCCCACGTGCGTAAAGATAAATTCCTCGTGTTTCTGTCCCCGTGTGGTAGAGGAAAGGAAGGAAGGGAGGAGAGAAAAAAAGGGAATCTCGAGTTGACGCGATTAAACGGTGACGAAGAAACTTGTCGCCGGGGAGGGGGAGGGAGCTGATGGTGGGCCACGAAACGAGTTCTCGATTCAAAGGGACTTTCCTTAAACGGCCCCCCGCTTCCCTCCAACCCCCTCCTAGGTTGGTTCCTCTTGTTCTCTTCGTACATTTTTTCTTTCCATTCTCCTCCCCCTCGATCAGACCGCGCGAGGGGAGGTTCCGCACGAGGCGACATTATACTACCCGAGCGTGGTTCCCTTTCATCCACGCGGCGCGGCCCGAAATTACTCGAGAATTTACGTAAACGAAGAAACCACCGCGAGCAAGTGTCTCTCCTCCTTCCACCTCCTTCCCTCCCTCACTCACTCTCTCTCTCTCTCACTGTTGACGGGGCCTCCCCTCTATCCCTCGGAAAGGCAAGCGGCGAAGAATGGAACGGATCCAGGGTACATACGAACCGAGGAAGGAAAAAAAAAGGAAAGAAGAGGAGCGCAGAGCGAACCCCATTTACGGCACAATGGGCTCCTTTGAAGCCGAAGGTAATGAAGGTTTCGGGGTGTCCGTCTCGGTCCCTCTACCGTGCGCGCTCCCGATTCACAACCTGACCACCCCTTACAGCACGCACAGGATACCCATATACCGGGTGTGTAACCGCGAACGTGTCGATTCCCTATGTCCTGCTGACGACGACCCCGTGTTATATCTATGACCACGATGAGATTGATTTCGTTTAGTATTTTAGCGTTAAGATCGGATTGCTGAATGGATACCCAAGGTAATACTTTGTAGGTTGTTTCTTCCTGGTGTTTTTGTTACTATAAATAGGGTTTGAATGAATACCGAGCTCTATATTTGAATTGCTAACTGCAGAAAGGGGATATCTCCATTTTTCTAGGGAATTCGCCTTTCGGCGGGATACCATTTTTGTAGGCTGCATACACAGGGTCCTATCTATACGGTATCTAGTATAAATTTTCGTTTACTACCGTATCTGTTTCGTAAAGACCATAGCAGGGTTAACTCTGACCATTGATGGATCAGTGATTGACCATTATTTTCACCCATCTCGAACTCAACGATCCTATAACACACTCCGAAACGGTCATCACAGCTCGAAGACCCGCGTCGCGTCAACCCGGATGTCCCGTCGTTGGACAGACGCAAAAACGTCCTCCGCAACGGTGGAACAACGGGGGGAGAAGAAGGAAGCCACACGGATGTGTCCCTAGCCGTCTGAAGCGATGCCTAGGTAAATATAAGTTAGAACCAGTTCCCCGAAGAAAAGGGCGGGGGGAGGGGGTCTGGGGGTAGGGTTGTGTCCGCGCGTTGCGCCGGTATGAATCCCGTTGGTATGCACTGTGCGCCATAATACCCCATAAGAAATTTACCGCTCTCTAACCGGTGATGGCGTGTACATACGCTCCGGCCACGAGAGTCCAGGTCGAAGGGAGAAGGAGCGACAGGGAGAACGAGAGGAAGGAAAAGGCAAGAGACAAAGATGCCGTGGCGGGCTGCAACTCAGAAAAGACCGACGTGGAAAGAGAAACCGTACGTGAGGGAAGGGGTAGAGAGAGAGAGAGAGAGAGAGATGGAAAGATTGGCAGAAGATAAACGAAAAGGGAAAGGAGGGAGAAAGAGAGAGAGTGGCCCTTCCTTCCGCGCACCGGGCCCCGGCAAAACGTAATTATGCTAATACGCGATTGGCTCGAAAATGTTAAATGCACGAAGCGCAGCACCGCGGGCTACCATGCCTCTCCTTCCATTGGTCATCCTTCTCTGTCCGTCTTTCGCCCTTCCTCCTGCTTCATCCAGTACGTTTCTCGCTGCTCTTTTCCTCTCCTCTCCACCCCGTACCATCCCCCTTTCCCCTTAGTTTCTTCGGAACACCATCGCTGTCTCTCTCTATCTCTCTTTCGCCCCGCGCACAGAGAGCGCAGATATTTATGGAATCTTCTTCATCGCGCGTTCGCTGCATTCCGCTATTGCTTCGCTCCGCGTCCTGTCTCGGCTGCACGTCTCGTCTCGTCTCCTACGGGGGCCCCTGGGACCCGGGGAACGTTTCAATCTTCATTACCGTCGATGCCAGGAGCCGCGGACTCGCGCCGTGCCAAATTGCGGGCCAGGTTTTGCCGCGGCTTTTCGCCGGCCGATATCGCCGTCGACGATCTCACGGCCGAAATAAATCGGCGCTCGAATTGAAAATCTACGAGCGAACAGGCCTGGATTCTTGTGAGGGAGAGAGAGAAAGAGCGACTTTAAGCCTCCTGCCCCAGGTGTGTCCCCCGAGACACGAGATCTCGCGAAAGAAATTGGGCTTCGTGTAAGCTACTGGTGGTGGTGATCGTGTATTCCAGGCCGTTCGGAGTGTGTTTGTTAATTAGCCAACGGATTGGGTTCATTTTTCCGTTTTGGTAGTTTTTCTTCTAAATATTGCTATTCTTATTCCACAACTCTGCTTGAGAATTTCATTAAACTCTACCTACTGTTCAAATTTCCAGAATCAACATAAAATTCTATATATCGTGAAAATGTCCAATATTGTCGTCAAATTGCATATCCGATTTCGAATAATGCGAATCAAAACTTGAAATAAATGCTAAATTTGTCTGTATTCGGATGTCTCGTGAAAAAGTATCCACCTACTCCATTAGTACCCCCAAGTATTAATCTCCCCTGGCTTCCAGTGACAGATCCAATAAATAAATGAATACAACCGACGATCCAAGTACCAATTTCCAAATCCGTAAACTCAAGTTCCTGCGTGTACAGAATCGAAACCAGCCAACGGTGAACGTCTTCGAGGATCGCCTAAGATTGGTCCCTCGGATGGGTGGACCCAATGCCCCGAGGGGCCCCGGGGAGCGTCGTTCCCCCGGATTCGCCGATAGGCCCTTTATAATAATGTAATCGAGGGGAGGGCGCGGGGGAGGGCAAATGAGGAAAATTGCTGTAAAATTGCAGGATCGAGGACGCGATCCAGGCGGGCCTGTCGAAGAGAGGGAGCAGAGCACGAGGGGGCGATCGGTCGCCCCGTCCACGGAACCAATGGCTGCCGCCGCCACGTCAGCTGCCATTTCGATGGAAATGCGATGGATGTCCGCTATTTCGTATGATAAAATATCGCCGCAAAAACGATCAGCCGGCCCGGGCCCGCCCCGGTTATTCAGCGGCAGCGCAAACACATCCCCCCCCCCCCCCCCCCCCCCCTCGTCCAAAACTTTCGATGCCCTCCACTTTACTCGGCGAACGGTTATCAATCGTTAACCAATGGGGGGAGGGGGGGCGAGGCTTCTAATGCAATATTTATCCGTTGCGCGCCTGAAATACCCGCGAGAACGCGCGCGGAATATTAACCGACCGGTCTGGGTTCAATTAATCGCGATCCCTGTTCACCGTGTCGTCGATTACACCGGAAAGTGGAACGGTGAATCGGTTAAAAAGCGTTCGTATTGGGGGGGATACATTTGTCTCGCGACGCGTTTCGACCGATCCTTTAATTATAGTACCGACCGTGCGGGACCAGATTCGATGCGTTTCGAGCGAACGGATACGCGTGAAACATAGCTGACGACCTGTTTTCTGGTTTCACCGGTCACTCTTTAATTCTTGTTTTTGAAACGAAATTTATGAGAATCTGCATATTTATAGAAGAATTTGTAATCTAACAATTAGGCACAATGTAGACTAATCTGAAAGAAATTGAAGTCTTTTTTCACTTTGTTCGGAATGACAAAAATCAATTTTCAAAAACACGTATTTTAGTATTACTGTCTAAAAATTCTTATAAATGAATGTAATATTTTTATATAGTATATACAGTGTCCTAGTATGGGTGACGCGAGACCCAGCGATAGGCTGTCATGTCCGTCATGCGAGGGTTAACATTTCGGACGAATTAAGCTCATTGATATTACCAAGGAAATTTGTATCATACGGAAAGTCAAAGAAATCACGAGCCACGATAAAATTCCCACGATTACCGTGTCAGTAGTGGGATTTCGGTGATGGTAGTTGCCCGTTCACGGAGCGATACCCCGTTTCATTGATAAAAATTACGAGGCGAAGTAGGTGAGTCGAGAGTTTCCCACGAGCGACGACAAAAAGACCGGCAGAAAAATCGGTATCCCCGGTAGGGTAAAGATGGCCGACCCGTTGCAACCAACTGCGGGGCAACGTGTCTGTCCGGCTGGCCGGCCATTGGACAGCTAAATGACGCCACTTACGCTAGAACGCGACTCGGAGTCGGGCAAGAGTATACACCATAGACGACGACAACGACGATGGGTGGTGCCAAGCTTTCACTACAATTACGGAAAATTGCGCCCCGCGTCGTAACAGTTGTTTTTCAAGCGTTACGGAGCAGCTTATCTACCCGCGACGCCCGGTTAATCCCGAACAATTGGAGCGAACGCGAGAATATGCCTGGGCCCTGCCCCGTTGACATTCGGTGTGTGCATCGTCCCCTCGGGGAAGAAAATATTCTTCCATTGAATTAAAAAAATTTCGAAAAATGAATCGACGAAATAATAAAACTGTTACACGATTGCCCTTTTTGGACCATTAGTGTAACTTGTCGTGTGTAAGCAATGTGCGCCGTATGATAGACAATATGTGTTGCTTATATACTAAGTTAGTCAATGGAATGAGTACTATCATACGGCACAAATTGTTTACACGTGACAAGTTAAAATAGTAGTGATCCTACCTAGGCGATGGTCGAAATTCGGCAACCTTCCTCTATATAGAATATTCCATCAAATTCAAATGAGTTACTTTATCCGCCACTGGTCGATAACTAACGTGTATTATATTTAAATCATACCCACTCGGAACAGTATGAGAATATATTCCCCGCGATACGTAATTCACGAGACACTCGAGCGTTCCCAATGATCCTAAAATAAATAAGCACATCCCCCTATAATACATTGTACATTCATGGTCAAACGTTCGGTCACTCCAATCGACGTTTCCTCGTGTGTGCCGTAACACACGCGACGACGAGAAACAAGTACAATATTCCAGGTTCTGGTCCCCAGGAGCGATGGGGAGGGGAATCGTGAAACGTACTACTCACCTTTTCGAGCTCGAGGAGGTGAAACCGAAGGACCTGGATCGCCTGGACCATCTGAAACGAGAAAAAAAAAGAAATCGTATGAAATTCGTTCGCCGGGCCGGACGGATACAAAAGGGGACAACACGCCGATGGGACTCGAAAGGTGGAGGAATACGAAGCGGTGGATTTCAACGGAGAAGGACAACGACGAAGGAAGAACTGATCCTCTACCCCGACTGAGGAATCGTTCGCCGACCAACTCGTGTATATCTCGGGATCCTTCCCATTTATTTCTCGTCGAATCCTCGGGGGCCGCCTCGGTTCGAGTCACTCCGCGGGGATTAACGGGAATTGATTATTATTGCATCTGCATTCCGCTAATTGCGTCCCCTGGATTCTCTGTTCCGCCCCGGAACACGATCGATGCGGCATCGATGGGACCGGTTCAACGACCGCAACGAAGCCTCGAAGCGAGAGGCGAGGAGACCGACGACGGCCACGGCTCGAGAAAGCGTAATTTTCGTTCCCTTCGATCGCGGGGACGCGTGTGCAACGGAGACACGCCAGGAAACTATTGCCGCGGCATGTTTCTCGGTATAATTAGCGTGGATGGACCTGCCCATCTCGTAATTTCCACTACCCATGTAATTTTCGCGAGTTCCCATTCCGATATCACCGCGGAATCCAGTCCCGAAAGCAATGTCACCAAGGATCCACCCCCTCCTTTATTTCGTCGAACGTTATATTACACCACACGACGTTTTTCGAAATGTGAAAGAGAGGGAGAATCATGTTCGTTGTCGACGAGGCCGGGGGTGTGTCGAGCAGCGTTGCATACTCGGAACCCCCCAGGGCCATCGGCATAATTTTCCGATACGCCCGGAACGCTTGAAACCCACCTCGAAGAAAGGCCCTCTCGCCTCCCGTATACGCGAAACCAGACCCCCTTATGGTATACAGGGGTACAGGGCCCCGGTGGTAGCAGAAGCGGCGATTCAATTAGGCAAAGCGGCAATCTTAATTGTTAATTAACATTATATTTATGCAATTATGGTCCATTATGATTCCGCGCGGCCGATAACGAAGCGACCGCGATGAGTGCTCCCTCAGATAGCGACTACTCGGAAGCCTGGACGCCTCCCTCTCTCTCTCTCTCTCTCTCTGTTTGTGCCTCTCCACCTTCCACGATCTTCTTCCAGCCACGCACCTTTCCATCCACCTTCGCCGACCGGTGGATACACGTATGGAACGGCTAGAGACCCTGGTGGCGAACGACTGACACAGGAATCGAGTGCATTTCGATGCGACACGTCCGTGATAGGAACAATTCGCAATCATCGTCTAATGGGACCGGGCACGATCTTCGTGGAACCCTGGAGATAGTAAGATTCTTCGAAGGGTACACTGTGATTCGGGAAAATGAATTTGCCTTTTGCGAGGAACCTTGGTACCCTGAAGATAGAGAGATCCTGCGAAGGGTACGTTGTGATTCGTGAAAATGAATTTTCTTCGAAGACAACTTTGGAACCCTACAGAATGAGGGATTCTGCGAAGGGCACGTTGTGATTCGTGAAAATAAATTTTCCAGCTTCCTCAGAGAGTCGATTGTTAAATAGGGAAATGCGTGTGGTTCACTGTGACTCGACAGGAGGTTCAGAATAGACTACTGATGCGAACAAGGTGTCCGGCGTGAGGAAGCAGCTACAAGAGCTGCAAGAACCTATCGTCAGAATAGCCAAGCCGTTCTACAAAGACGATGTCAACGCTGCTCGACATCAAACGATTTCAACGGACTCTTCGGTAAACAAAGAGGAGAGAGAGACGGTATAATTAGAAGCGGCTGGAAGTCGACGTGTATCGTCAAAGCGCGAGACAAAAGCAATCTGGTGCTGGACAATAAAGAGATCGGGGGGCTGGGCGCAAGAGGAGGGCCGGATAACGAAGTGAAAAGTGCCACGGCACAGCTAACCCGGTTTAGCGTCCCGTAAATACCGGGTTCCGGTGCCCACTATGGGGTTATAAAATCGGGAGCCAATTTGGCCCGTGCCAACGCCAGCCCGTTAAACTGTTCTCGTCGCCGGTGATCTGTGAACGGGGGATCGATGACGTTGAATGTGCGATCCAAGTACAGGTGAACCTTTCAATGGATATTGCGCCTATTCTCTTCGCCGTTTCTAGGTCTACGCGTGTCCACAATTACAGTGCAATCGAGACACGCACCTGCCTCGACACTTGTCGCGACTCAGGGACAAGTACAGTAAATCCTCGATGAGTGCTCGAAGGCTCCTCGGTACTGAAAAAGATTCTCCAAGTGTAACGCTGACTTTTTAATAAGGTTTAGCACAGTGATAAATTCTGAAGCTAATGATAGTTATTTCTGTCCCATGTGGCCATTAGTTTATGAAATATTTAACGTTCAGTGCGGAGGAGGCTTCGACCACTCATCCAGGATTTACTATATCAAGGTGTGATTTCAATTTCGTAGTTAAAAAGTCCATCGACAATTCTGCATTTGTCAAGGCACTTGTTCCAGCCCAACTTGTCCGATTTCTTTCGTCGACCAGGGGGTTTTCTGCGTCGCAGAAGAGGCGTCGAATCGAGTCTTCGACACTTCACCGTCGACGGGCGAAACGAAGGGCGGCGATGTCGAAGGAACAACGTGTAGAGAAAAAAGGGGCGCACAGGCACGCCGCTGGGAAGCGGAGAAAGAAAGAGAAAAAGAGACGATGCTATCGGGGACCAGTAACGAACACACAACACGCAGCCCCCGAGTGCCTCGTTGACGAGATGGTGCGAGAGTCGATTCGCCACGACCGTGTTTCTCTGTTCTCCTTCGCCGGCCTCCGCGTACAATGTGTCCTCTATATTCCCCGGGCGGTTTTGTTGCTCCGACAGCAGTCTGCTGCGCTGCGTTTCTCTCACTCGTTCTCGTTCTCTTGCTCTCTTTCTTTCGCTGGACCCGTTCCGTTATCTACACCGGCCTATACTCGATTCTCGCATTTCCCTCTCAGTTTTATTGCCGCGGATCGCTAATCGAATGCAATCGCGGTTGCGACCCCGACACGCTCGCAATCTCCTCCACTTAGACGCTTTTCGCCCGCTGCGCTCCCCACCTTTGAGGACGTCTTCGCTACTTTAGTCTACGTTATGGTATCCTGACACATTATCCAGTCGATTCTCTTCTACTTTCGAAAACTACAATAATGGCTTCCCAATGAAAATTACAAACGGATCGTTTATGACTTATACACTCAGTATGACTTCTTTGGATGATCGCAGAGTTGTCAACGATCTTTCTTGTCCGTTTTAAGATTTTTATTATATTATGTCAAATGACTTATTTATTTAGTTAAACCCTATACATACTCGTATAGTAACTAAAATCACTCGACATCCTACGATGAATGATATGGAGCACATCATTGAAGAACGAAGTGAGCCATACCTCAGCCACCAGGCGCACGTTAAACGTTCACTATCGGTCAGCGAGCAGTTATCGAGTCCCAGCACCAATTCCATCCACCGCAAGCACCGCCGACCAACACCCTCTCGAACAACAACAAAGATCCCCCGTATACCAGCAATCGACCATCAAAAACAGTGATTTCCTGGTCAGACCGGTCAGCATTCCCCAACACCAGCCCAAAAAAACGGAACAATATCTCCTCTATGCTCTCTCACGAGCCTCTCTCGGCGGTTCATCGTCGACGTATCTCCTTGCTCCAAAGCGCGAATTCCCTTCTCCTTCTCGCACGATCTCTCGGAGCCAGGGCCCTCGAGAGGTTTTGCCACGATCGCTCATCACGTGATATTAATTAGGCCTGCGAGCAGCCGGGCAGCCACGGTCGAAGGGGGGTGGGGGGCAAGTGGGAAGGGGAGTAAGAATAAAAACTGCGAAACGCGCGAAGAAACAGGGAGATGGTGTTATTTATAAGCCGACTTGGGGCCGGGACAACGCTAGTCGGAAGCAACGCGATCCTCATCGCGCGGACACGGAATCATCCTCTCCTTCGCCGACGTAATGGTTCTGCGCCCTGAACTGATGCGCCCGCGCCCGGTTATTCGATGCATGCTCGAGATACGGGATGCGCGCGTACGCGCGTAAATGAGCGGCGTGTCGAGGGGAGGGATCCACCACCGCCAGCGATTCACGGGCACTGATTTCGCCCTGTTTTTTGCAAGGCCTTCCTGTCTCGCTACTGTCTCCCGCGCGATTCCACCCGGCCCCTCTTCATCGCGCGGTTGCGTGCGCGCGCGGGTTTCGAGGAATCTCTCTCTTTCCTTCTCTCAAAGGTTCTGAGCCCGCTCCGAGACTCCTGATTCGCGGCAGATTAACGCGGCTCGCTGGCGGATCGAGAACGGCCTCTAATTGAATACTTTAACACCTCGCGCTTTCACGTCTGGCCAGAGTTGGACTGGTACGTAGCGATTCCAGTGGGAACGTCGTACGAGACGGGGCTGGTGATCTTGATACCAGTGGGTACAAGGTACGAACACATCGGGTGTTTATGGAAGTCCTGATGCGTTTGTGGTAACCACGGTTATGTGGGTTGCTGGAAGGCGAGTGACCGTATGGATAGGGCGGTTGTTTAGTTGGAGTGGTGGTAGGTTTGTGTAGTTGCACTACCGAGCACAAGTACGGAACCAGATCTGACAATTATATCATTAACAGTGTAATAAAATCGTGAATTGAGGCAAACCGATGCCGAGTTTTATGTGTGCTAAAATAATTTTATTTGTGATAAAATGTTTTACATACGGGTATCCTTTCAATAATTACTTCGTGTACCTGTGATAAATAAACTGTTAATGGATTGGGGAGAACCATTATTCTACATAGATTCGATAAAAGTAATTTGCTGGAACTGACTGGAAATGATTTGTATATGATTCCGTAACTTTTATTATATTGTAACAAAAAAATGTGGGATCTAAATATCACGGACGGGTGGATTGGGTCAGATATATCAAGTTATGTGGATAATTTAAACCAAATAATAGTGTATAGTTTTTCAATTGTCTGTTGTGTTATATTCAGTATCTCTTTATTAAATTCATATTAATACCAGTGA